GGCACGGAAAGCCGGAGATTCCAGGTTCGACTCCTGGCCGAGGAGTTTTTTTCGCAATATTTTAAAATTAGTTAGGGGGGTATCCGGGGTTTTTCCCGGATAAAAAATTTACAAGTAGAATTTGTTACATGTATATATATATATATATATATATATGTACACGCATAGTTTCACAAACATCCTGCGAATGGCTCGTATCGGCCTTATTTGATTCCTGTTATAAAATATATGTCAATTAAGGTCAATATCGAGCAGTGTTGTTAGATGTAATGTGCAAATTTACTTAATATTTAAAACACAAATATACAATGCGAAACGTTTCGACATACACAGATGTCTTCTTCAGTCGCAATATACAAATTAAATACAAAATGTGGCTGTCATTGTCGTAAATAGGTAGATGGACACACCTTGTAATGGTGTCACAAAATAAAATAAAAAATTCAACGGTAAAGAGAGAGAGAGAGAGAGTCAAATGCTATATTGTATATTTGTATTTTAAATATTAAGTAAATTTGCACATCACACCTAACAACACTGCTCGATATTGACCTTAATTGACATATATTTTATATTGTTTTACAACACGAGCGATTTTTATTCTTTCTTTTTTATTGTTATATTGCGCTTGGAAAACTATTACTTACAACTATATAAAGCATTTGAAATCTATACGAATAGATTTAATTTTCCAGATACAAAATGATATCGCAGTACACGTGGCCGAACTTCCGCGGTGGAAACGACAAGGAAGGAGTGCGCACCTTGATGGAAGAGAAAGGTTTCTCGCATGACGTTAAATACGGTCACACAAAAATATTCATTCGCTCGCCGCAGACTCTGTTTGCGTTGGAGAAGGTTAATCGATCTTATATAAATAACGGGTAATCCGTTTTCTATACACACGACGATGTTCGCACTGATGATATTGATTTGCCGCGTTTGCTGCTTGCAGGCCCGCGGCGATTTGATACCGGGCATCGTGACTTTGCTGCAAAAACAATGGCGCGGATACCTATGTCGTCAAAGATACAAGAAAATGAAGGCCGCTTTGGTTCTGATGGAGCATTACAGAAGATACAAAAGACGCGCTTACATCGTCGAGCTCGAGCGTACGTTCAAAAACGTCAAGAAGATGCGCGGTTACGGCAAGCACCTGCCGTGGCCGCGCGAAAATTTTGCCATACGACACGCGATACCCGCTTTGAAGAACATGTACGGAAGATGGCGGGCGTGGATGGTGCTCAAAGTGATACCTCGGGAAGACTGGCCGCAGCTTCGTTTGAAGGTACGCGCGGCGTCTTTTTTATTTTGTAAAATTTGTATTGTGGATTTTTAAATATATACAAAACGCTCGATTTTTCGCAGATAGCAGCGGTTACCGTATTGCGTTCGAAACGACCCTACTGGGGTCAGGACCGTCGTTGGGAGGGAAACTACTTGTCCAAATCGGACGAGAATCCGCAGAGCGATATTTTCAATTCTTCGATAAACAATCTTCGTAACACGGATCACTTCAAAACTGTTATGTTCAGCGCATTTATTAAGAAGACAAACAGGTTTTTTTTGTTTTCTCTCATTGTTGATAATAATCTTGTCAGTCTCGTGATGAACAACGCAACGTGTAACGCGCGTAAAATTAAAACTGACGCAGGTTCAACAAACCGGTGGATCGCGTTCTGGTTGTGACGGAACACGCGGTGTACAAATTGGACAAGGTGAAGTTTAAAAGCATGAAGAAGGGCATGCCGATAGCGGAGATAACCGGACTGAGCGTTTCGCCCGGAAAGGATCAGCTTATCACGATTCATTCGAATCGCGGAAACGATTTCGTTCTGTCAATCATCGCCAAGGACGATAGAATCGGAGAACTGGTCGGCATACTGAGCAACCGATACTATCAGTAAGTAATCGATATCGCGATTGGGATCAAAAAATTTTCAAAATAATTAAAAGCTGCGAATGATGTAACATTTTATTTCTTCAACCGACAGACTGCGCGGCGCCGATCTGCATGTGACAATAGACTCGAAGTTCAAATGCATGCTGGGCAACAAGAGCAAACTATTGCGAATCGAAACGGCGCCTGACGTGAGCGAGCCAACGTTCAAAAAATCTGGCAACGAAATCATTTACGCGATCCCGTCGTCGGTAAGTATCATCGACGGCGGTGTCAACACGAGACAACAAATCCGTACGGCCAGTTAAAGTCTGACTGAATTATTCGACGCACTGTACCATATAAAAATTAAGAAAAATAACAGATATATTTTGTAACAATATATATCTTTGATACACACATGTATACATATATATATGCTCTGCCATATGTTCTAAAACAAAAGTCATTTAACAAAAAACAAAAAAACAAAAAAAACGCGATTTCACGTCTGAGTGAAAGTATTGTGACTTTTAAAAGTATTATAACTTTTTGCATGAATCAAGTATTTTTCTCTTAACAATTTTGGCACAAAGAGACTTAAGAAATATTTTTCATTAAACAGTAAGCAGGTCATGAACATCAAAACTTTGAAGCCTTATTAGTCGTGTGCCTACATAATATTAAGTACGCTTTTTGTATCGCGAGTACAAGAAATTAAAGATATTTGCATTTGCAGAGTGGAGTGAAGGGTAATTACGTGCGATATGCCTTGCATAATTATTATCCGCGTAACGCGAAGCAAACAATTATATTACTTTGTTATCGGCCTTCTTGTCGCTGTATTCTTCGACGTCGATGTAAATATTGTAGTACCGTAAGCATTGTTAATACGTAGTGACGCCGAGGACAGGAAGCGAATTTCACACAACATGAATTTCAGAACAGAGAACGACAGAGCGAATACGTAATTTATGAATAAAAAAGTACGACTTTATTTTTCGCAAAGAGAAATAATGTTATTTATAAATTTTTCATCGAGATTCTATAAATATTATTGTAAGCTGGTGGCCTTCTACTTATACCATTAGATCAAAGTAAAATTTTCGTCCGTCTATATACACATACACAAACATTTATGTACAGGATGTTTTTAACATGTAAACTGAATGTCACAAATATAAATATAACGTTACTACATTTAAAAAAAAATCAATGCAGCTCTTTGCAGATTTTTAGAAAATACATGTAGTGTTATTTATAACATTCAGTTGAAAAACATACTGTGTATTAAACCTTGTTTTCATATAAGTAATATAAATGCATTAAAAGAAATACGTAAGAGAGAGTAACACTCGGCAACATTGATTCGTTGAATGAGGAAGTACGTGTAATCGTAATGCCTTACTTAACTCGATGCAAAATGCAATACAGGTTTAAATGCGTTCTTTCCAAAGAAAGTTTTTTTTTTTCTTTTTTTGTATTTTTCCACATATGTACTTAGAATGACATTCTGTGCAGGAACATACAATTTTATATCGTATGCGCAAAATGAATCGAAAGCAATCAAAATGTATTTCATGTGATCACGATATTATTATATATATATATATATTCAATTTACGTATAAAGAAAATTATAGTGTGTATATTGTTATAAAATCTCTTCATCCGATATTACGTAATACGCATTTACAAGAAAATAGTTGTTAAGAAGGAATTAGAAAACACGTTAGAAACAATTCGCTTTTTTGCGTTTATATTTATATATTAAAAAAACCAAAAAAAAAAAAAAAAACAACAAAAAAAACCAACTGTGTTATCTTCATTGGTAATTGTGATCGCAAAACGTTTTACAAATGTTGAGAGAGCTGTGCCATTGTTAGAAAATAAAGAGAAATTTTCGTCTTCCACGTTCGTTGTTTTTTACACTCCTTGCATTTTCCAAAAAAGAAAAAAAAAGAACAAACTTTTTTTTTCTATTGTTCGACACAACACCGTCGTCATCGCGTGTTCTTTCTTTCTGGTCTGATTTAATATATACATATTACCAAAAAGGGAGAGCTTTTGTATCACTTTTTTTATTACTTACAAAAAGCAATATCTTTATACAAAACAGCAGCTAATCGATCCTTTGATACATGTATATGTATCCTAATTCCTTTGGCGGATTTTCCGATAGAGCAACCTGTAATAACAAATGTTTAGTACAGAGAAACACGAAATTAATAAAGTAACAATAAAAAACGATACTGAAAGAACACGGAACATTTGAAAATATAATCCGTACTTTTTCATCGTTAAATATCACCCAACGACCTTCCTTAAGCAAGTGACATACGTAATGGCCAACCATCGTTGAGGTGCCCATATGTGATATAAAGCCTACTAGTTTATATCCTAAAAAAACACATAAGCGCTCTTGTAAACATAAATCTCAAGCAAAAAACTTTCCAACCAAGTTATTTCGAGATGATGCGAGAGAGAAAAATATCATAAATCTTGCTAAACGTTCATCTCAAATCAATCCACACAAATTGTTTCTACTTCACTTCACTCTTAAATTAAGAAATTCCATTTTTTGCGACTCACGTCCGCTTCCATCTCTAAATGTTTCTTCCGCTGGAGTCGCACTGGTGTCCATTTCCTGAGCATCAAGCTCAGCTTGATGACTGAAAATCCAATCAGCCGCGCGTTCCAAATTGTTATTGGTCGCCTTGAGAGCTTTCGTTGCCTGTTCCCGTGTGAAACCCATGCTCATCACCATCTCCAAAGCAGCTTCATCCGCCACAAACTTGGTCTCATCTGAAATTCAATCGATATAAGTCAGCCAAAATAAAGTCAATTAACTGACCCGTTAATCGACTACGAGATACAACAACCTTTGTTTGATTTGACGTCGATTCCCGGCGGCACAAACGAGTCATCGTAGTCGGAATCCGCGATATGCTCCATTAACCAAGTGGTCGCATGATCGAGACTGCGATTCTCTGTGAAGTACAGAGCGCGCTTGCACGCGTTCAGCGGGAAACCCATTTTACTCAATTCGTTTAGAAGAAGCGCATCAAAAACAGGCGGAGGTGGCGTCACACCGTCCGGCAGCAGTTCCTCGCCGGGCTGCAAACCGTTGCCACGCAGAAAGCTCAGATCCACCGTGTCCGGCATTTCCACGGCTACGTCAAGCTTTATGGGCGTCCAGTCCTCCTTCACCGTAAACTTTTTCAAATGAAGTAGCAAATAATCTGGGAAAGTGGCTAATCTAGTAGTTCTAAAAGAGAAATTTATACAAAAAAAATTAATTATAAAAAGAAAGAACTACTTCAATTTTTTCTTACAATTACAGAAAAAAATGAAAAGTGACACAACAAAGAGAGCTAATAAATATAAATCAGAGCCTTACAACTCGCGCACGGCGTGCGGTTTGCGCCATAAGATTTCTATGCAGTCACGTGATCAGTTGGAAGGCTCTGATATAAATAACAACTTAAAAGTGCAAAATTACGTACACAGCAGAAGTGTGTAATAAAAAAAATAATACTCACTTATGTGCTGTTGTCTTTTCGTTCAATGCGGAGCTGTAAAATTGTTCAACAATTTCCGAACGATTAAAAGTCTCAAGGCATGACGACAATTTTATACGAGGTCTCACGAGAGTACTGGAATCCAACTTCTGTCCTTTTGCTTCAGCTTCTATTTTCTGCATCTCGTACGCGGCTACTTCGTCCTTGTTACGTCGAGATCAATTAGTTTTAATAATAATGTTACTTAAAAAAAAAAAAATAAACACGTTGAACCAAACCGAATACATTACTTTGTTCACCGCAGCTTCTACGGGTATTGGCAGTGGCAGAATATACTCCGGACGATACGTGTATTTCACTTTGTCTGATCTGTCACACTGGTATCTTTCTTCCACCTTGAACTTGAAACATTCCGTCGGGCACGCTTCGCGTCGATTATTACGCTAAGTCAATTAATTAAATTTTCCAACATTAGAATCGTTACAAAATATCTAATAACAAATTCAAAAGTACATCGGTGACTTCAACAAAAAAAACTTAAATACAAAATTAGCACTTACGTCAAGTAAGTTGATCAAGTAAAGAAGAAATTCTTGAGCGTCCTGTTGCCGATTCGAGAAAAAGTCGGGATGTCCGCGACCAATCAGGACTTTGAACATTCGCGGGGGAATACCTTTACGCGACTCGTCTTCTCCGCCGGATTTGCTCGGTGGTTCCGAGTGCTTGCCGGAAAGCAAACCGACACCTAATTTTGCCCTGAAAATTCGAGATTTCTTGGATTCTGTTCAAAATCATCAGCGTGATTTTTATGATTCGATCATAAATATCTTATCCAAAGTAATTACATTTGAACATTAACGTTTGACGCCGGATCGTGATGATCACGCTGGAATATTTCCGATGCTCCTTCCACGTATCTAAAAAACAAATGTAACGATTATAAATACCCACTCGAAACAAACACCACTAAATCGCAAAAAGCACCGTTGGGGAAACTTTTTACATACTTCTTTATAAAATCAGGAATAATGAACAACGTTTGAATGACGCTGTTCAAGTAACAGGAGTTTCCCAGATTGGTCAATCCCGTGTAACCTGGACCGTACAATGGCGTCAATTTGCTGGCAGCTTCCTGCAGAGACACCCACTCGCCGAACTTTTGATTCAGATCCAATTCTAGCTCGATCATCGATTTTTCGGTTTTCTCCATCTGAGCGATATTGATGCCCCAGTGAGAAAGATGGGCGGTCAGATACGGATCTTCCACCATGTCATCCTCGTCGTACGAATAGACATCAGCTTTGCCACCTTTTGTGATGGTACCAAGCTTCACGGCTAAAGGATAACCGGTTGATTGATAGTGTTCCACCGCGTGACCGTTGCCACCACTGCCATCATAAAATTTACGACCGCATAGTATGCTACCGTCGGTCAAATTTAACCAAAGATTTTGCGTGAGATCACATTTTTCGCATTTCCAACCGCTCGGCGGGATCTTTTTGCCGTTATCCAGCTGTTTCAGATTCGCAGCATGTCTGAAAAGCCAAATATATGTTTCACTCTCTTATCTAAGATAAAAAGATTTCAATGATAAGACACTCTGCGCTTAATTACAATTAACAATAGATCGCACACGCGGAAATAAACTTTTTATATTTACTTTGATTCTTGTCTGATCTCTCCATCCCACGTACTGGTAACAGCTTCAACCTGTGCTGCTGCCCACGCACCTTCCATTTGTAAAATTGTTTTGATCGCATTTTCAACCTATCAATAAAATATTTGTACATGTTTTAAAACATGATTATTTATGTGTAATTATCACACACATATTTGAATTCTATACATCCTTTACCTTTCCAGGTAAATTATCCTGTGGATAATCAATGGTTAGAAAATTGGGCAGAATAATTATTTTGTAAGTTTCATCGTAAGTATATTTTTGCTGATCAGGCATGAATCCGTCAACTGTGCCTATCGCTAGTCTTGTAATCTTTTTTTCAGGTCCATCTCCTTGTTCTTCAGATGGAATCTGAAAAAAAAATGTTTTTCTAAATGTTATTTTCGCGAGGAAACAAAAGAACATGTACTTCCAAGGAGACCAACAGATATTTGTACACATTAAAACACATCATAAATATTATTGTTCTAGATCTCCAGATTCTTAACAAAAAGATGATCAATTTTTTTCTCGAGAAACCTCTTTCCTGGTGCGTTTAATGTGAAGATACACAGGATCGCCGGCCTGAGCGTAATATCGCTCCAAGTGATCTTGGCTTAAGCCCAGGAAAGTCGTCAGACTGACATAAAGACCGGCGGGTGAATCCTTGCGAAAACAAAAAGAACATTTTTGCTAGTTAGAATATTGTTTGTAAGTTTTGCCGGGCGGAGTGTCGGCGAACAAAAGACAAAAGGGCATCTTACTGGTGTGTCGAAGGAATAAACGCACTCATCCTTGTATATTCTGTCACCCGCTCGCGGAATATTAATCTTGTTCAGATGCTGCGTCAATTCCTTCAATTCCATTGTGAGAAAATTATCATCAACACTGTAAAAATCTCTCCAAGTAGCTCTTCTTCCTTTTTGAAATCAACGTATATGTTAGCGTCAAAACCCGAAATTCAGCAATTCTAGAATTGACTGGTCAATGCCCGAAAAATCTAACCTAACCCTAACCTAATCCTAACCTTTTTTCGGGAATTGACCACAGGGCCACCAAACTGCCATATAAATTCTATGGGACCCGGTGGTACCAGCATTTGTGGCGCTCTCTGAAAAGTCTCGTTGGTAAAATGGAACTAAATTCCAACATGGCGTCCAGTGTTACACACACACACACACACACACCACACATATATATGCATCT